GTTGCAAATAGTAGTACCAGGCTCAGTGAATAGAGCTAACATGTTGTAGGATATTTTAGAAATAATGCAGTGTGATCTCTGAGGTTAGAGAATGAAAGATGTTGTGGTGTCCACTTTGTACTCTCTCGGTCACTCATGGAGACTCAGCCACCATGCAATGAACAGTCTGGCAGCTTTGGGGAAAGGTACACAAAGGGAGGAACCCAGGCCTCCTGCCAACAGCTGACACTGACTTGCCAGTGATTGAGGGAGCCATCTTGGAATCAGATCCTCTGGCCCTAGTTGAGCCACTGCGCACCTGCAGTCCCAGGCATCTATTGACTGCAGTCTTAGGAAAGACCCAGATCTAGAACCATCTCTCTAGAATTCCTGAACACCAGTAACTATGTGTAATAAATGGTTTAAAACAAACAAATCCAAAGGGTTGGATCCCCAGATTTTGAAACAATTCCAGGGTCTTCATGGGTCGGGGATATGGAAAGAGGTGCTGGCTGGTTTGATTCCCAGATTCCTCCCCAGGTAAACCACAGCAGTGCTGCGTTTATCTGGTTTATACTGAGGACCCATCTAGAATTTCATCTGAAGAATGGAGTCTGCTACCAAACATAAATATGCGAACACTGGTTTAGAGAAAGGCTAGCTGACCCCCACAATCCTTTCCATCTCTAACATTCCATATTTCCACCCATCAGCCTGAAACAGACAGGAGTCCACAGGTAGCATGCTTTCCAGGGCTTCCTCTTCTTGACATAAAATACACACCCGGAGGCTGAAACGAAAACTGTCATTGCGCTGCTGCTTCTGTGTTTCAACAGCTGCCCTTCCTGTGTGTGAGGCTGGACAGCTCAGATTGGATGGAGTGCTGCTCCTGCAAGGAAAGAGCCCCTCCCTGGCCACAGCTCCACCCCCGGGGGCATCATCTCCACGCTGGGAGGGGCAGAGGGGTTTGCTTCTGTTGTCAGTGTTTGATTATAATAATGACATTCACAATATCAGCAATAATGGCTAGCTTGAATGCTGTGTACAAGGCTCTGGGATGGGCTTTTTACATTCGTTGTCTCATTTAATCTCCATGACCACTAGGAGGTAGGCATTTTATAGACTGAGGAAATGAAGGCTGATTTGTGAAATGATTTGCCAGAGTCATGAATTAGTAGAAGTAGAGCTATACTTAAAAGTCTGGAGTGCTGAGTGTGATGGGTTGTGCCTGTAATCCCAGCACTTTAGGATACTGAGGCAGGAGGATCGCTTGAGGACAGGGGTTTGAGATTAGCCTGGGCAACCTAGCAAGACCCCATCTCTAAGAAAAGTCTACATTTATAGAACCCCTGGCTACCATTTGGTGGATTGTAGGCCAGGAGCAAAACTCCTGGGCTACAAGAGTGTCTCCTGGGCACTGCTCTTTGGGTCTGAAATACATTGATTTCACAACTTGCAGGTTTCAACATAAGAATGTCTTTTTTATTTTTATTTTATTATTATTATTATTATTTGAGACAGAGTCTCACTCTGTTACCCAGGCTAGCGTGCTGTGGTGTCAGCCTAGGTCAAAGCAACCTCAGACTTCTGAGCTCGAGAGATCTTTCTGCCTTAGCCTCCCAAGAAACTAGAATTACAGGCACCTGCCACAAAGCCTGGCTAATTTTTCTATGTTTTTTCTTTCTTTTTTTTAAAGTACAGGTGGGGTCTCACTCTTGCTCAGGCTGGTCTCAAACTCCTGAGCTCAAGGGATCCTCCTGCCTTAGCCTCCCATGGTGCTAGGATCACAGGTGTTGTAACCAGCTCCATAAGCTAGAAAACATTTATTTTATTTTATTTTTTTATTGTTTGGGATTCTTTGAGTACAAAGAATTAGGTTAAACTGATTGCATTTGTAAGGTAAAGTCCCTCTTGTAATTGTGTCCCATCCCCAAGAGATGTGCCATAAACTGTGACCCCCATGCCCCTCCCTCCTCCCCTCTCTTATTCCCTTACCCTCCACTTTGCATTAGCTCATTTATTGACTTCTTATTAGAATTGAGTTCATTGGATTCTTGCTTCTCCATTCTTACGATGCTTTACTAAGAAGACTGTGTTCTCTTTCAAGTTCCTGGCCAGTGAGATTTGCTGACCAGAACTTTATAACTTCCTATTGCCCTTTCCAGTTTCTTTCCCACGACCAGGAACTCCTTGCAGCTACGAGATAACATAGAGCCTTGTACCACCTGTTTGTCCAGAAAAGACAGCACAAACATACACCACCACAGATTGTGTCCAAGGATCCACTGAACCTGTGCACAAGATGGGGAAATGACCAATATTAACCCCTCGCTCATTATAATGCTGAAATCCCTATCCTGGGAGGGGGACTTAGCCACAGTTTTTGTTCATGAGAGGTATGCAACTAGCACGATTTCTCACTGTGCTTGTGTGCCCTGTACCCCAAACATGTGATGATGTTCACTCTCCTTGTATGTGACTCATTTTCACCTCCATAAACCCCCCTGATGCTGTTGGTTGGGGAGACAGATCTCAGGCAGTCTGTGCCTCCCGCCCCAGCAGACCCAGGTCCTGCAGCGAAGCCTTCCCTCCCTGACAATCTTGGTTGTCTCAGCAGCCGGCGTTCTGTTTGGTAACAGTGTGAGCCACTGCGCCCAGCCACAAAACGGTCTTCATTCATTCCCTCACTCATTCATGCTACCAACATTACTGAGAACTTACTCTGCACCCAGGTGCTGTTCTAGAAACTGTGGACAGAAGGGTGAAAAAGACAGAAACTGGTGCTCCCTCAGGGTAAGCTAGGATGTTGGACTGGAAGAGAACCCAAGAAGCCACCAGCTGCTTCCCTTGCCTTTAAAGGGCAGAAAGACTTGGTGTGAACTAGGGGGCTGGACCCGAGAGAGCCATGAATCCCCAGAAAGCCCCTCTAGGAAAACCTTGATGAGTTGCACCCAGTGCTGACTCTGCTTCTGGCAGGGCACCCTCCCAGTGTCCTGCACTGAGCTTGTGATAGTCCCACACAGCGAGGGTGTGCACTAAAGCAGTTTGTGGATTTTTATCAACACAACAAACTTAGTGTTGGGAGAACTTGTCCTCAGACCTTGAGAAACTGGCTTTTTGTTTATTTTGTTCTTAATTTGTTATTTCTCTCTATACTTCCTTGTAAGGACAAACTGTACTGTTTGAAATCAAGTCTCCCAAAGTGTTGTTCAGAGACTTTCCAATACAGGTCTTACTTGGCTATACAATTTAACATTTAGTTTCAACTTTCAGCTGAACATTGCTTTGTTAAGACCATGTTTCACAAATGAATGTGGTCCCCCAGCTACACAGGGGCAAAGGTCCTCCAAGCTGGGGCACCATTGTTCTATAACTTTCACCAACTTTGTCCCCCCTAGGGTCACTTCACTGTGAGTCCACCAGAGTCCTTGTGCTGGCTTGGAACCTGCCCAGGAAGGTAAGGGTTTGGTTCCACAAAGGGAAGGAGAAAGGGAATCTCCACCACCAAAGCAGCACCAATCTGGATCCATGGACCCTCTTAGGACTACTGTGGATGGTTAGTGGAACAAGCTGGCCCCCGAGCTATGGGACTCAATATCTGCTCCCTCACAACACACTTTTCAGCATCAATAAGCCAGTGGGTCCTATCTGAGTCTGAGCTATCAATTGCCAAAAATACTACTCAAGCTTCAAAATGTAGAACCAGCTGTTCTCCCAGTCCTCCGTGGCTGGGCTTCTCTACCTCCTCCCTCCCCGAGGGCAGGCTCCTTCCAAACAGCAATGGTTAGAGCCTAAGGTTTTCGGTTAAGGGGGGTGGAGTTTGCACAGCCTCGCCTTGTATCTTGTTCATGCTCCTTCTAATTGTCCTAGTATAGTGTTCCATCTTCAGCAGGGATCTAGAAGACAGGTAACTGATTTTAAAACTGGTGATTGCCTCAAAGTTTTGCAAAGTGTTTATACCAATTATTGACTAACTGAAGAAATAGGCGTGGGGATCAGGTCATGGAAGAAACTGTTGTAACAAAACTGAAGTCCACTCTTGATGATCAGAGGGTGAGTTGAGGTTTGTATCTTAAGGTGGAATAAGGTGGGACCTGCCTGCTCCAGCAGGAAGCTGGACCACTAGGATAAGCAGATGTTTTCGGGGGCCCAGGCCCAAGGCTGCCAGGTAGTAAGGAGCAGGCCGTACAGATGGGGCTGGGTGAGGCCCAGGGACCACGGCGGCCTAATTAACCGTATTTTGGGGGGTGCATCTTAAATGTGGCTGAATGTGCAAAGTAGCTGACGTGACTTGATCATGGGAGTTATAACCATCCAACAGATAAAGCCGGTGACGAAACAACCTAATGTTATGAACATTCAGGTCAGCACCTGCCTAGTCCATCTCTTTCTTGGCTTTTATCAATTTAATTCTGGATGAGGAAATGTTAGCAATAAAAATAAGCACCAGTAAAAGGAGCCAAGGCCTCTCCTTCTGTAACCCCACGTAACACACTCATCTTCACCCAGCGACGCCCCGATGCTTTGCTTCCCTCTAGTCTACACAGTGGCTTTCACAAAAGCAGCTTCTCTCAGGTACTGCTCCTTCGTCAACAGCTGACTCTGGCCTTCACGGATAGGAGAACAGATGTGTAATCGGTGACACTGAAAATGGGTTTACGTCCTAGTTTGGCCCTAGAGCTGTGGTTCTCAGCCTGGGCTGCATATTAGAATAAGGCGGCTTGTAAACTCTTGATGTCCTGACCACATCCTGGTCTTCAGGGTGACGTCCAGGCATCACGAGGTCATTAAGACAAAGAGTTTCCCCAGGCAACTCCAGGGGCTGGCAAGGATAAGACCGCTGCCCTAAAGCTAAACTGGTGAAGCACTGGGTGAGCAACCCAAGTAAAGAACAGCCAAGTTCCCACTCCTCCTGCAGCTGGGCAAGCAGCCTGCTTTGTACGTGAGGGAGTGATGGTTGGGAGGGAGACAAAAGCTGGCTTATCGTTTAAAAAACCCAAAACAAAATAGAACAGCATCAAGTTCACAAAAGCACTTTTTATTTGAGGCAAAGAGAAGTCTGGCTAAACGGATTATTGTTTAAAGAGTCAAAACTCAACTGTTAGTGGCACTGTTTTGACTTTGTAGATTTTGCTTCTCCTTGGTCAGAAAAGGGTATTCAGGTTTTATTTTCCCCAGCCGGGCAAAAACAAGGGCAAGGAAAACTAAAGATCCTTCTACTCTACTGATACTGCTCTCCAGACCCAACATCAAGCCAGACATGCCCTCACTGGCCAGTCTGAAGGCTGCTGTCCCTCAGCTGAGACCACACCACATTTGCAAGAAAGATGAGGCAGGAAAAACAGGTGTAGGTCACTTGGGAAGAGCAGGCATCTGCAGCTTCAAAACTCCTCGTGGAAGGGGTAATCCTTATGGGAGGCACAGCTGTCAGGAGAATAGAGAAGATACATCTGCTAATCAAGGAAGTGATTTTGACAATAACAAATTCTCCACACACAGAAATGCTAAGTGTTTCATTACAGGCAGAAATAGGGGCCTTAGAGGGAACAAGGCAGTTCTGAGTCTTCAGATCACAAGTTTGCATCTGGGGTGGCAGCTCACTCCCCAGGCCTCTCTGCATGGGCTGTCTGTCCCCAGGCACATGTGTGACAGACACTACCCTTCCTGTGTGCCCAGTACTGTGCCTGAGGCATGCAGGACGGTAAGAGGATTCCTGCCTCCCAGTAATTCAGTCCAGCTGGCATGGCTGGACAGTACCTCTCTGTCTCAGTAAGAGCATGTAAAGAGAAAAGAGATAATAACATATGAGCTGTTAAGTCTAGGGGCAGCGCCTGCGGCTCAGTGGGTAGAGTGCTGGCCCCATATACCAAGGGTGGCGGGTTAGAAACTGCCCTGGCCAAACCACAACAAGAAGAAAATAGCCGGGCATTGTGGCGGGTGCCTGTAGTCCCAGCTACTTGGGAGGGTGAGGCAAGAGAATTGCCTAAGTTCAAGAGCTGGAGGTTGCTGTGAGCTGTGATGCCACAGCACTCTACCAAGGATGACAAAGTGAGACTTTGTCTCTAAGAAAAAAAAAAAAGACATTAAATCCATTTGACATCCCAAAGTGAAACAACCCCAAGTGCTCCAAGGTGCACAGAAGACACCTCCAGGAGCTTCCTGTATCAGCGGGAGGGGAGGAGAGCCCAACACAGTAGTTGAGGATTTGATACTGGAAACACAGGGGGTGGGAACGGGGTTGAGAGGTGCAGGTGTTTACCAAGGCTCACTGTCCTATCTGCAGGGCCAAAGGCTTGCCCTGGGAATACAATGGCAAGAAGGGAGTGAAAGGCAGGGTGACCCAGCTTGCAGTGCACAGCTCTTACTCAAAGGTTCAAAGCTTCCTGGGGACCTGGGGATGTTAGGGCCAACCCCAGCGCACCCCATCAGTACAGTGCAGGATCTGACACCTGTCTTTAGACTAGCACTGAAGGTGGGAGGAATCTAAATGGAAAACGAAAACCACTGTGGTTTGTCAGCCCCGAGTGCTTCAGCGCACTCTGCCCACGGTGGGAGGGCAAAGGAAAAACGGAATGAAGGAAGAGGTAGATTCTGAGAGAACGGATGCACCTTGGTGACTGCTTCACTTCTCTTTCCCTTGCTAATTAAATCCAGAAAAAGATTTTAATGTCTAAAGATTAAACACCCTTAGTACGAATCTGGGAGGGGCTACACGTGATAAACTGTGATGTATCTGGAGTCTGAGGCCACAGAGTGACAGAACAGGCTCGCCAGGCACACTCTTGCCTGAAGCACAGGAGACTTGTGTCCAGGATGCAAACTTGGCAGACATCTATCTGGGGCTGTGGCTGAAGCTACCACAGGCCAACTCGGAACTACAGGGTGAGAGCACAGGAGCTGGGTAGAGAAAGCTAGCACCACACCCCGAGTCTTAGGGAATGGTCAGGCTTTGTTCAGAAGAGAAAGTACTAAAGACAGCAGAAAAGAGCTCAGACAAGGAGGAGGACAGTGAGAGAGAAGTAGGGTCTTAGTCTCCACTGAAAAAGGAGAACTTGCTTCTGAAAGTAGAAGTTTTAAACTCTATTTAGTTGTTGTACTGGAAGGAAAGGAAAATCAAAAACCTTCCTAGTAATCTGCCAAACAACAATTCAGAAGCAATATAAAGGACCAGGGAATGTGTAGCTGGAGGGGCCTTAGATGACCCTGCTTGGTCAGAGGAGATAATGGACATTCTCAGAGTCATGTGGCTTACTACTGTCAGAGCGGGCACTGATGAGTTCCAGCTTCACAACTGTCCTATTCTGCCCCTTTTATCAGGGTCATTGAGACCAAGAATCATAGGCAAATTCTTCAAGGATTTGATTCAGGGCCACCTGAGATCATCTGGTTTCAGAGAAGCCACTACGATTTCAAAATTAAATGACAAAAGAATTATTTCAGGTTAGGCCAGCAATGCCTCAATGCCTCTGGGTCAGGAAGATACAGAGTAGATCTCTCGGCATTTATATCCCCCCCCCCCCACCCCGCAGTGCAGTTTAGCAGAGGCAGGTTTAAATGTTTCCTGCTGCACGTGGATACCAAAGCAAGGTTATGTGCAAAAGTGAGACAGCTGTGACAAAAGCCCGCAGAGGAGCAGGCCTGCGGGGATCATTCTTTTGCTCTGCAGCATCTGACGATTTCCTAGGAACTGACTGTCACACTGGGACTTACCTCACCAAGGCACAGACCCTCCAGTTTCTATTGTAGCTGAGTAAGGTGGTCACATCAGTGCTGCTCAGTTCAAAGTCAAAGACCTAAAAAATAAAAATCCAGTAAGCTCTGCAAATAAAAGTCAAGGACAGAATTTTAAGCAGGACCCAGATGAGGTGCCTTCCATGGCCTTGAGCAGGGAGGAGCATAAGGCAAAGTGAACCTGGAGGGAGTTTATTTTACTCTAATTCAGCAGAGGCACACAGTTTGGCTAGATACTACCTGCAACAATGAGAACAGTCCTTGCTTTCGAACACCTCCAAGCAAAATGACACTTTTTATTCTATCTCAAAAACACTACCAGGCACTTCTGTAATAAACACCAGTGATTGAGTATAATGATGGGTAAGATGTGTCTTTTCCAGTTTACAACAAAGCAAACAAAGGACAGATGTATTTAAATAGCTACAATACAAAGAATTATTAATTATATGCCGTGTAAGACCTTAAAGATGGTATTTAAGATGGCCTAAGAATAATAAGGTTTTCACAGAGAGGGTGAGAAACGTGTGCTGGTCAGAGAGAACCACTAACATGAAGAAAGCAGACTGCTCACGGTTCAGCTGGCATGGAAGCCGGGAGACTGGCTGGCAAGCAGGGTGGGCAGACAGACAGACAGACAGAGAGGCAGAGGGGCAGACAGACAGAGAGGCAGAGAGGCAGACAGACAGAGAGGAAGACAGGCAGACATGGAGGCAGACCGACAGACAGACAGAGAGGCAGAGAGGCAGACAGAGAGGCAGACAGAGAGGCAGAAAGGCAGACAGACAGACAAGCAGGCAGGCAGACAGACAGACAGAGAGGCAGACAGGCAGGCAGACAGACAGACAAGCAGGCAGGCAGACAGACAGACAGAGAGGAAGACAGGCAGGCAGACAGACAGACAAGCAGGCAGGCAGACAGGCAGGCAGACAGACAGACAAGCAGGCAGTTCCCCAAGTTCCTCTGCATGGGGAACCGAATCAGAACCTGTACTGATCAGAACCAGAACTCTTCCAAGATCATACAGCTGGCACCTAATGGAGCTGTGGTGCAAACCCAGTAAGAGTTGCTTGAAAATGAGATTATCACAGGACAAACGCTCGGTGTTGAGAAGTTTAGCAAAGGGGTATGCACACACAGCATGGAGCCACTGAGGCAGAAGGCTGCTTCCGTCTCGCACCCGGCTCAATGAGGAATCAGTTTCCAGTCCACAGTTCACTCGCTGCAGCTTACTGAAGCTGCCTCCCCGGCCTGAGAGGACAGCATGGCAGGATTCCCACAGACAACAATCCAGGGATTATAGGAGAGGCCCTGCGAAGAGTCTTCCCATCCCCTACTTCACTAAGGAAGGCCAGGGCTGGTTGACCAGCTAGGATATTACCTTGAAGTTCTCAGCAATGCGTTCAGGTGTTACTGACTTGGGGATCACCACCAAGTTCCTCTGCATGGGGAACCGAATCAGAACCTGTAAAGCCAGAGAGGGGATGAGTGTGTACCAGGCACTCTGCCTCTCCTCTCACTCAACCTCACACACACAGCACTGGAGAGGTGAGAAAAGAGAGGCTCTGAGATGTTCAGGTCACACCTGAACTAGTTTCACACCTACACTACTGGACTAGTTTCTCCAGGCAGGGGTCACAGTCAAGTCCAGATTTGAGTCCAGGTCCTGCTCTTAGCCACTGTTCCATGTGCTTCAGTGTTTCCAGGTATGAGACCACAGTGAGACTTTGCACTGGGAGCTCACATGAGCACCTGGAAGTTTAAGAACTTTTCCCACACAGCTGATAATAAGAGCTCTTAAATGTGTACAGAGATGAGCATCCACATAAATTCCAAGTGCTGACCCCCATGGCATCCTATAAGGCAGGCCGCGGGGGCAGGTACTGCTGCTGGAAGAGCCCATGGCAGAGTCTGCAGCCCCAATCCATGCACTTCCTACTACACACTGCAGGAGCCCTGCAAGGTCCTGAGGGCCATTACCAATCTCTCTTGGCTAATGGTCCTGGAAACAGCTGCAAACATCTAGAAATGGCTATACCTGGGCTGAAGTTTTATTGTGCTTGGCTGCAATTGCCTTGATCCTGGGATCCTCCAGGAGGGATGGGTCCTCTGGCTTGGCCCTGAGGATAGAAAGATGGTCCAGATCAACAACCATCATCACTGCCACTCAAGGCAGCCAGAAACCCAGACCTTAATCCTCTCATTGATCTGAGAGGGAAGCTCGCCAGTCTCCTCTTGATTCAAAACTGGGGTTACAAACTCCCAACCCTTTAGAAAAAGAGTAGGCATCTTGCTACTAGAACCTTCAACTCATCTACGAAAGCCAGCAAGAGACTCCAGGGCTTCATCAGACCAGCCCTAGAAGCATTTTCCTTGATATTGAATGTTTTTTAGTCATTTCTAATCTTCACCAAGTCACAAGAGAACATGACCCCACAGAAAGCTCACCAGGGCCTGTCAGGAGAGCCAAGGGGGCTGTAGGCAGTCACAGCGATGCCTTTGGACTGGCAGTACTGGATTAGTTTCTCCTGAGTTAGGTATGGGTGGCACTCGATCTGCAAACAAAAACGGGGGGGCACTAAGGGCACAAGGTGACCTGACACAGAAGTTGTTCCCCTACCAACTTCTCACTGCCCAGATAAGCTACAACAGTTTTCTGTGTATCCCAGCCAATATCCTTGACATTAAGAACAATGACCTTGTTACAGATGTTCTATGGCCGTAGGGCCTAAAGGCTTTTCTGGCTTTAGCCATTTATCAGCTGTCACAGGTCCAAGGATCTCAAGGACTGTGTACTGCTCAACTGTCAGACCCCAAGTCATCACAAGACTGGCTCAAATCCTTTCTCTCCTGTAAGTTTCCACTCCCAGATATGCCCTGTCATGCTGAATCATAACTCAGGACACTGCTAAGGCCCAGGTGCGGCCTCACAGCCACTCGCTGAGTGATGTAGACAAGACCCACTGCCAGGATTCGACAGTAAAACAGGATCCCATCAATACCAACTTTCTGGAGGATTTTACCTGGTTAACCGCTGGCTTATACTTCAAGCCAGGTTTGTTTAAGAGCCTCTCAATCTGCAGATGGTTGAAGTTGGAGATGCCAATAGCTGCCACCAGCCCTTCATCTACCAGCTCCTCCATGGCCTAAAGAAAAAAGAGTGTCTGTGAGGTACAGAACGAGTCCAGAAAGGACCAGGCTCAGAAGCATCTTCTGTGGCAGTTTAGCAGGCCCTGCTCTCATTACACAGAGGCAGCAAATTAGATATTTCAGAGGCCAGCGTCGAGGAGACAAGAAGAACAAAAACCAAAAGCGACGTAAGAAAAGGCAGAGAAGATCGCTCCTAAGGAGAACAGGGAACTGGCACCTAGCAATAAGGCTCACTCCGGGACTGTCTTACCGTCCAAGTGTCCAAAATATCCGTGTCACTGGGAATCACATTGCCTGCTTCGTCCAATGGGAAAAATTCCTTCCCAGCCTGTCATTATAAACAAAACAATCAGTATCAGCCCCTGACAGAACTGCTGGGGGAAGCTTCATCTAAAACACTTCTAAAATGCCACCACGGCTAAGTTCTTAGAAGATAATCAAGGGCCAGTCTGTGTGTCCGTATGAAAAGGAAACACACAAACCTGGTTTCTTGTTCCCTCAATGAGTCCTCAACAATTAAAAAAAAAAAGGAAACACACAGATAACCCCAGAAGCCAGAGACACTTGTCTATCAAATAGGTGGGAGTGAACAGACTGACTGATAGAGATAAGGACAATACTCAGTCACTGAGATTAGCCCTACCATGGACTTCAGCGTGTGGACAGGGGAAGGACTCCAGACCAGAACTCATGGGGCCCAAGTCCTGGTGGTCACTGGCCTATAAAACTATCACCTGACCAAGCCGTGCTGGTTTATCACAAAAAAATAAGAGAAAAGTCAAGTCCCTTCAGGCCCCCATATGCCACAGTGCTGTAAAACAGAGCCCTAGGGTGAAACCCACACACTTTGCATCTGGCTGATGCAGGTTAGGGAGCCAGTGGCTAGACAAAAGGCTAAAGGTGTGATAACCCCAGTTCTTATTGCACAAAGAACCAGGCTGCCATCAAATACCGATCAGGTTTCTGCATGATGGGGTATGTGTGTGGAATGTTAAGTGGGGACTTACACATACATGTAGGCTGGTTGTATACAAGAGCCTGGAGGCAGAGAGGGAGGCTGGGCTGAGGGCTGACTGGGCCTCATGGCTGTGTACAGGACACACAGTAGTCGTATTTGCTGACATCAAGTTTTAAATAATACAACCACCAAGTGACAAAGAGTAGTATTCCTCAAACGTGGAGGAAGGGTGCATGTGAGTCACCTATCGGGACTTGGATAGCCTGGGTGGGACCTGAGACTGATTTCTAATAAGCCCTGGTGATGCTTTCCCTGCTGGGCCACAGGCCACACCAGAGGTTGTATCCGAGCCTCAGGGATCTGTTCTGAGCCGTGTGCCCCATACCTTAAAGCCCGTCGGCCAGTGAACAAGGTAGAGGTCCAGGTAGTCCAGCTGCAGGTCCTTGAGCGTGTTCTTGCAGGCTTCTTTCACCAGGCTCTTCTCATGGTAGGTGCACCACAGCTGAAGCCAGTGAGAAAGCACATCTCATCAGGGCTGCACACAGGGCTGCTTCCTGGCTGGGAGCCAGACAGCTCCGAGACAGAGCACTCTCCTCTCCCCACAGCCCACGCACTTCACCCTGCTGCTCCGAAGCGCTGGAAGGAGCTTCTGTTTTACACTACAGGCCCTAACTTTAAAAAAAAAAAGGTAGGATGACCAGGTCAGGGAAACCTTGCACAAGGACCAAAGAAAAGGCAGAAAATAAAACAGAATGAATAGGTCAACCAGCCAGCCCTAAGCCCTAACCATGAATTCTCGGGGGAATTTTCCTACCAGGCTGGTCTTTGTGGAGCTAGCCTTACCCTCCTACCCAAAGCCCTTTGCATGGTGACAGCTTCTGCCAGCAGTGGAAATTCAGTGTGCAGATGGGACCAACTTCTGTCCTTAAATGTCATTCTCTGGAAAGGAGAGCCAGCTTCTTCAGCCTGAGGCTCTAACCAGTGCGCCTGGATGGAATGACCACCACACAGAGAGCCATGGACAGGCAAACTCTGGAGCCCTCTATGGCCTTGCGTAACACATATACCCTAGAAGAATCTCCTGCCATGTGATAACTGTAGCTGTACTCAGAGTACAGACTCGGCTCCTGAGCGGATGGTACCAGGGGATGAATGGGCATGAGGGTCCCTCCCTGGGCACCCTGCAAAGCGTCACCTTGCTAACGATGAAGAGCTCCTTCCGTGTCACCACCTGCTCCTTGAGCTTCTGCTGGATGGCCAACCCCACCTCGTGCTCATTCTGGTACACATGGGCACAGTCAATGTGACGGTACCCGATGTCGATTGCTACCTTCACAGCCTCGGTTACCTGGCCTGGAGAGGACTGAAAGGAAAAAGAACGTAACCCATGGAGCCAAAACCAAAACAGAAAACAGTTTGCTAATGAAGAGGGGCAGCGCAAACCAGCGATTCTTGCTGAAGCACCTGAGACAGGCCGGGGTTTACTTCAGAAGAGGCATTTTAAACTCTCAGCCCTCAGACACAGGGGAATTGAGGTGAAATACCACATCATTTCACTGTAGGAGAGCCTGACAGCCACTTAATAGCAACACACATTACTTTTCAAGGAAGTAAGGGTCTGTATTATTTCCTTTCTTCTTTAGATCCACTGATTTATATAAACCACTGTATTAAAAAAAAAAAAAAGAAATCCTGCACTACCTGAATCCTGAAATACTAAAGGAAACCAATGCTTTAAAATACCTCAAAATATTTCAAAACTAGCTGTATTATTGACTCCAATTCCCATTTGGTTCCCGAGGCCAGTGAATACCTGTCCTTTACAGTACTGTCTGGCATGGATTCTGATACTGGCAAACACTCATTCTGGGAGATTATCATGGTCATGAAGTCACGAATGCAAACAATGCTGACTGGAAGGCCTGCGTGTCAATTCCTACCATGTGAGGATCTATTTCAGGAGGTGGAGACAGAGAGGCCCCTCAGAGATATTAGCAGAGAGGAATGAGTTCGAAGGTGGGAACCAGGAAAGATCGCCATGTGGTCTGTGGTCAGCCCAGTAAAATGAATGAATGGGTCTCCATGCCCAAACCATCTGACCACTTGAGTGACAAGAACAGATGTGGGGAGCGTAACTGCTGAGGAGGAAGAAGTCCCCGTGTGGCATCCAGCTTCGCCAGCATCCAGACAGACGGCACAGACACATCCCTCACCTCGGCGCTGCTCCTGGTCTGATCAGAACGCTGAACACTGAATGTGCGCAGTGGACTGTTTACTGAATGAACAGAGCACATTCCTCTGGAGAGCCAGGGTAGAAACAAATGAAAAGGCAAACTCCCAGGGCCATCGGCAGCTGCCGTTTTGATATCAGCTGTTTTGAACAGACTGGAAGGAAGACCACAAGCCCAGTAGACAAGCCTAGTACCAGAGCCTGGTAGCAGCTGTGTTGGATTCCCATGCGGGGACCAGGGAAGCCAGTTAGGGGTGCTAAGCTCAGGTGAGGGTTAAGATGCCTTCAGATGATCTGTCAACATTATATGTCCCTGCAGAAGCTGCGCTTGCAGCCTCCCCACTCTGTATGATTGAAGAACAATAAGCAGAATCTCAGCATACCCAGAAAAGAACAGCCCACCACAGGTTCTCTGTGGTGTCCAGGCTCAGCCATACGGCTGTGAGCAGGAGGGCAGAGCATAAGCCCGCCCAGGAAGGAACAACTCGGCAGAAGCCAGGTGAGGAAAGCCCTTGCCTAGCACTCACTGAACTTTCTTCTGGCTTGACGGCACCTCAACTGATTCCCCTCTGAGGATCTGCTGAGCTGCTGCTGCGTGCCCTGTCCTGGGCCTGCCTGGACACTCACTTCGCAGCCCTCAGGCCTGGACAACGGGGAGAGCACACTTCCCAGGCTTGAGCTAGCCATGCACTGCTGCTACAGCGACTGGCACTGGGGCAGGAACATGGCTCCAGCCGGGCCGTGAGATTCAGTTTTTGGACTTGAGCTGGATGAACTGGGACAAGCTCTGGTTCTGCTGTGGTCCCTGTGCTGGAGAGCGTGTGCCTGCAGCTGCTGGAGAAATAGTAAGGGAGAACAAATCCTGATGGCCTCACTTATAACCTCAAATCCCAAGTACCCAAAGTCAACAATATCATTTGGGAGGTCAATGGCTCCCCATCCCATAAATTCATCTTTTTTTTCTGCTTAAGTTGGTTTTTCAGTTTCTTGCATCAAAAGAACACACAGATTGGGAAGGCAAAGTTACGAATGGTTAGCATAAAACAAAGAAGTTTGTGTGAAGGACAGAAATGACAAGAGGTCATGAAGAAGTTGTTGTTCTCTAACTGCCGGACAGATGCTGGTTAGCTGAGACACCTGTCCTAGGAAGCTGATCAAAGTGCGATCAGTGCTATCAAAGGGAATAAACATGTACATGCACTACAACCCACAACTACATTCAACATTAATTACCTCAAGGTTGAACCCTTCCCTAAAAAGACTAATGTGTCTAATTGATAGTCAAACAGCCAACTTTAGTTCTGGTGAGAAACCACTCAATCAACTTGGGGAATGCTGACATGATTACAGTATCTCCCCATTCCATGTCAACACAGAGAGAATGCGAATAGAAGGGAAGGGACCAGACCGAGACTTAGAAAAAGAACGTAACTGTGAAAACATTGCTTCTGCGCATTACAAATAGCAGAACTATTTGTATATATACGCATAGTTAACTATTTGTATAAACGCATATACAAATAGCATGTACAAATCCTACATGTTTCTAACCTGACCCTGCCACTCATCTGTCCTGTGACTTGGGCAAATCCACACGTGCCCATTTCCCTCGAACCTTCTTTCTCCTTGAAGCTCTATGTTGGGCAGCAACTTTACGATGTTCTGGGATGATGGCACAAGTGATGTCGGGGAGAAGCCTCTGCCTGCCCCCCCCCCCCACAGGCCAGCCAATACCAACTCAGATAATATCAGTGTATCTTTCATACACACAGATACACACCATATTCCTTTAAAAACAGTCCAAGCACAGTCACTCACACCTGTAATCCCAAGGCTCTGGAATGCCAAGGTGGGAGGATCACTTGAAAACAAGAGTTTGAGACCACTCTGTGCAACACAGCAAGACTTGTCCCTAAAGAACAATAATAAATCAGCTGGGTGTGGTGGCATGTGCCTGTAGTCCTATCTACTCAGAAGGCTAAGGCAGGATGATCACTTGAGCCCTGGAGTTCAAGGTTGTAGTAAGCAATGATGATCACGCCACTACTCCAAGCTGGGCTCTAAGAAACTGAAACAGAAACAAAGCCTAATCCTCTTCCCTTTTGCTTGTAGGTCTCAGTAGTTACTTCAAGATAACAGTCCTCCCTCTTACTTCCTCTGGAAGTCAAAAAAGAAAATCAAGCTCTAAACACAAAGATGATTATGGGACAGGATCTATAGTAAAAACAAAGTACCTCAGATACTGAATCCTTTGCAATATTAACTGTGGGGATTTCTGGGAAGAGGGAACTCTGTTTCCTTGTGCTTCAAAAAAAATTTTTCTCCAGTTAGCAGGTATTACTTATGAAAGGAAGTAGTGGGAGAATAAATAATCTTGGGGGAAAAGATAATCTTGGGTAAGAAATATGCAAATACTGTGCCAGTGATAACCCTACAGCAAGAAACAGTAACTTTTGATGTGAGCAGATTAATAAAGAGACAGAGTCATCGACCTCTAAAGCCTTGAAAAGCAGCATATCACAGAAAAGCTGCCACTGAGAAGCATCATTTCCTATCTTCAGAGAAACTCAGCCTGCATTCTAAGAGAAGCTAGTCTGAAGCCAATTTTACTATTGGTTTTGTTTAAGTACTAGTGGTACCAAAATAAAATTTTCTACTATTTTTCATTATAAACGTAAATCATTTCAACCACATGAAAGTTAAACAGCTATTTGTCAAAACGTATTTCTCCTAGTTTCAATTAATTTACTTAGAATCTTGTGGAAGAGGAGGTTTATAAGGGGCCGACAAAATATTTTAGTCTTTATGGGCCAAATAGTCTGTCTCCACTGCTCAGCTCTGCCTCTGTAGTAGGGAAGGAGCCACAGACGACACGGACAAGAGTGAATCTCAGACCTGCGGTGAGCGTGCAAGCAGGAGCCAGGTGTGTGAGACTCCCACCAGAGTATCAGGGAAGATCCAGAGAATGATTACCATGCTGCTACCCCTTTCAAGTACTGCCCATAGTCAAGAGAAAACGTACTTTTCACTGTTTGATATAGATAAACCAACCTCACTTGGTTCATACGTCCAAATTCATTTTATGGTCTAAAAGTCTTCAAATGATAAAGACTGGCCGCTGAAGTATCCTTCCGCCTGGCTTATCACACTGAAACATAGTCAATCTGGCTAACATTGTGCTTAAAAACTTAGAATCAGGGTCAGCCACAGGCATAGAGATTAACTCCTCCCCCTTCTATGTTAATCACTCTGTCCTCAATTCTAAGACACTACTGGCTCTACTTGTTTGATATGTGGATGGACCATGACTGGACTTTTTAAAATGTCATTGATCTTGAAGCAGGTAGAGTTGGGGCTGAGGGTGAAGACTTGTAAGGAGACCAGGCAGGAGAACAGTGAACCAAGCTCCAGCGCTGGCTGCAATGCCCAGAGCTCCTCTACTCTCTCCCACATCCCAGAATTTGGGCCACCACAAGCTTGCCCCACCAGGGAAAAGTGGCAGGAAGTCTTTCTTCACACATTTTCTTCTACTTTATACATTCTTGAAGTGGGACGCTATACCCCCAAAGAGGCAAAAAAACAATTAACTTATAAAATGGCTTATGATCCTCTAAAGCAGGCGTCCTCAAACTACGCCACACAGGCCATATGCAGCCCGCCCTAGGACATTTATCCAGACTGCCGGGTGTTTTTGCCGCTGCTGCCTGTCCTGCTTAGCAGCTGACTCGTCCCAGGCCCGCAGTCTGGCCCTCCACTGGTCTGAGGGACAGTGAACTGGCCCCCTGTTTAAAAAGTCTGAGGACCCTTGCTCTAAAGGACTACAGGACATAAAGAGATGCACAATATTATCTGTGATATTAAAATTTTATTTGGAGGAGTAATTTGGGGAAAAAGTCTCAAAGGTTCCTAGGTGGGGGTTGGGAGAAAGGTGATACTAGGAAAAAGATGGATAAACAAAGTTGTGCCTCCATCCCTAGGAGTATTCCTAGTGCACACGGGAGAGTTACAGTGGTCATTTACAACCATCAATGTTTCAACTAGGTCAAAAACACTACCTGTAAGAGGACACCAGCGGGCATCAGAGGTCATCTCTGTTTTAAAGGCTCCCTGGTGATACAAGGCTATGGGCTTAGTCACTACCCAGTGGGCTTAGTGACTCCCCAATGGCAAGCCTGGCAGGAGAAAACCCAGGTTTAAGCCACCTGGAGTATGGGGCAGAGATGGCCTCCCACCTCCATGAACCTCTCACCTCTGCAGGGAGAAGAGGGTTTGAGGACTTTAAATGAAAGAGCAGACTGTAGAGTCCTGCTGAGTCTGGTATAACACAGCCATTACAAATGACCACGTCTTCTGTGGAGCACCTGGGAGGGAATATTTTTCCCAGAAATACAAGCAGGCTTTTTCACTGCATAGGTATCTTACTTCTTTATATTAATTTACCACGTAACTTTGGATACCTACAAAAAGCTGCAAATAGTAGTGAACAAGGTACAGCAGTACCTGGGTTATGAAGGAGACAGGTTGAGTAGGTCTGTTCTAAAGTTAAATCTGTATGTAAATTGGAACAGGTACATTTGCCCGTTACCTGTAAGAGTCCCTGTTCCTAAGTACAAGTTGTACATAAATTGGACGTTTATAACTCAAGGACTGCCTGTAGACACACCCCTGTCCTACTTCAAACCATCTCACAGTGCACTCATCTTTTGCTTTTCCTTCTTTGTGTGCAACTATGCAATACCCAGGCCCATATTCCAAGTCCCTTTATGAGCAAAACCCGGGTCACAGCTGCAAAATGTAATATACAATACCCTGAAGCTCATGTATAAGCTGCTTAACAACATCGGGTTTTAACCCAGGCTTGGTGGCTCCTACCTGCAATCTGAACAACTAAGGCAGGAGGATTGCTTAAAGCCAGGAGTTCCAGGCCAGCCCTGTCTCTTAAGAATACACAAGAAAAAAACTAGCTGGGTGTGGTGGCACCATCTGTAATGAGAGGCTGAGGTAGAAGGATCACTTGAGCTCAGGAGTTTTAGGCTACAGTGAACTATGATCAGGCCACTGCATTCCTGCCTGGGACACACAGCAAGACCCTCACTTCTTCAAAAAGAAAAAAATACTGGGTTTTGCTTCAGCTCCCATAATATCACCTGTCGGTGTTCCTCAATTTTCAGATTACCAGGCTATCATTTTTATTTCTAAAATAAATTTTCATACCCTAGTATCCAGTTTTTTATAACCTGTTGTATTTCATGTCCCATTACCCCTTTCAACAGGCGGGGCACTTCTCACGGGACGCCGTACCTGGTATTTAAATTTTCTGGAAAAACAAAGTTAACCCTGGCTCCTGCTGATAGTTATCAGCTAGCAATCGGGTGCCCAGGTTCTCTGCGGATTTTCACAGATCCAGGACAGCCCGAGATAGGTCCGGGGCAAACGCGTGCCATCTAATTAAATTATCTGCCTTCCTTGGCCTCAACCTGAGATGCTTATTCCTGAGAGTAAATTGCTGACCCAATCGAGGACAAACTATTTACAAGTAAGGCAAAGGCGCCACCGGTGCCTGGGGAACAAGGCTGGAGCTCCGTCTCCCGAGAGGCTCCGCGGTCCAGCCCGTCCGGACGCCCAGGTCCCCCGTGCCCATTTGGTGGTGTCCGTTCGGGGCGCCCACCTACATTCCAACTGCGGCCTGGGGGCCGCCCGCCAGCGTCGCCAGGCTAGGACGGCCTCCAAACCACAAACGCAGGACCCCCAGTGAGATGCACTAGGCCAGGCCGCAACTGCCTCAGCGCCCCAATCCCCGCAGACCCGGATCCAGCCCGCTGGGCCGTGAGCCGAGTGTGGCTCCCAGCAGGCCAGGCGTCTGCGGCGAGATGGCCCAGGGTCACTCCGGGTCCCTCCCTGCCCCAGGCCGCCCGTAGCCCGAAGCGAGCGGCACAACCCCGCGCCCTAGAGCATTACCTTCCAGGTGCCCAGCCCCAGCATGGGCATCTTGGCGCCGGTGTTGAGAACAACGTGGTCGGCCATAATTGCTGCGCTTCACAACCCCCCAGCACAGAACAGTGAGGTGGCTACTGGGCTGCGGCGCGCAGCTTTAAATAGCTGGTGCGGCCGGAAAACGGGAGACTGGGATTGGCGTGGGGCTGCTGGAAAGAGCCTTCTGATTGGTCAGCCTGCGCCGCCTTGGGGGTCTGCGGGGACGCTTCTTCCGCTAGGTCCCAGCGCCTTCGGATTCTTCCCGCTACCACCGTTTGCCTATGCGCTCTTAGAGGAAGACCTCTCCAGTTGCTGTGGCGCCGGCAAATCAAAGGGGTTATCAAAAATAGCGGGCATCTTATAAATAGACTAGGAAGAAGTGATAAATTAGTTTATTTTAAGAGCCCAGAAGAATACATATGCCTATTGTCCAAATGCAGTTTGCTGCTCTTTGGGAATTTGACAAAAGCCCTGCTCTTAATCTGTACAAATGGAATCCTGTTGACTTTACATGTACTTTAGCTCACTTTATTCTTGCACGAAGGTGCATGTCGGAGAAGTGGCCTGCAATCTTTTTGCAAAACTTACCTTCCTGAAAAACAAGTTTGCCCAGCTGTATGTAGCCTCATAGAGATATCTTTGCACGCTGCTCTAGGTGCTAGCTATGTCTGCACGTGCAGTATGCTTCAACAAGCCTTCCGACAAAGACCAGCATCTTCTGGGGTTGTAGAACCCTGATGAGGTTGCTGTGCAATACAGAAGACTATGGAAGGTAAGGTTTTCCATTCAGAATCAGTAAGACTAATCCCATTCAGTCTTCAGAAAGGGAGAATTTATTAAAGCAGCCAGTTCCAGTACAGTAAACTTAGCAAAACTTAGAAAGTGAAACTCACAGAAGAAAAAATTAACTCTGATGGTGCACAGTGGCTGTAATCCCAGCACTTTGGGAGACTGAGGTGGGAAGATTGCTTGAGTCTAGGAATTGGAGACCAGCCTGGATAACACAGTAAGATTTTATCTCTAAAAATAATAACAACAGCAAAATAGCTAGGCATAATGTCATGTACTTATAGCTCCAGCAACTCAGAAGGCTGAGGTAGGAGGATCCCTGGAGCCCATGAGTTGGAGGTTGCATTATATTATGATCAGGGCACGGCATTCCAGAGTGACAAAATGAGACCTTGACTCTAAAAAGAAAAAAGTTAACTCTATCAGTTCTCTTAGTATTTCAATTAGAAGGTACTAAATAATAAATTGATCAGCCCTAATTGGCAAGTATAAAAACATTATTTTTCTAAGATAGCCAAAGGTACGTCATTCCAAGAGCCTTTAAAATAATTTTGGATTTCATTCCAACAACCTCTCTCCATGATGTTCTACCTCACCCCAACCTGCTCTTTCCACTCCATCACCCTCCAGTCTTTCACCTAATTATGCAAGATTGGGACCTACATCTGTCCCATAATGACTCAGAAACTAGACCTCTCTAAACTCCATTCTGGTGATTTTCCATTTAGTGCTGTCTTTAAAAGTGCCCCCACCCCCACCCCACTGGAAAAATTTACAGAGAACATACTAGCCCAGATATTTTTCCACTTGACTTTTGTAAAAACTTTTGTTAGTGGGCAGTTTGTGATGCTGTTTGTCCTCAAATAATATAATTGAATTTGAGCCTAAAGCTGGAAGTTTGGTTTGTGTGAAACAGAAGATGGCCCATGATGCTTTTTCCATGTGATCCCTCTTGATTTGAAGGGATTGCTCTGTCAATTGAAGCTCCTAATTCCTAATCCAAAAGGCCAATCTCAGTGAAAATGATACAACTTGAGTGGCTTGGTTGGTATACACAAAAGGGTAATCTGTTAGGGGCTTGGAGTCAAAGTTAGAGGCTTTGTTGTTGTTTTGATAATAATTGAACATAAAGCTTGATTGCCTGAAGGTATAACTTTTCCTAAAACTGGAATACTTTGGCTGGGCTATGGAAATGTAAAAAGTCACATCCGTGGAATTTTAATAGCAGCAAAAATACTATAGTTGGGACATACTATTGTGACATACTATGTGGGATGTACTATTGTACTCTGAGATCCCCCATCACCTCTGTAATCATTGTAAAATGCCATTGTGCACGTATAAAACTTTTGTTAAAAAAAGAAAAATAATCTTCAATGGAATCCTCCTAAGAAATACTCTAGTAATGGGAATCTTAACATACCCTGAACTAGTCATCTCCCATCATGGGAATTATTACTGTTTCCCAGGGAAACAGTTTAAGAAAAAAACACACAGAGAGGGAGACACATACATATACACTATAGATATAGGGCAACTGCGTGAGGTAAATGAGGTACATAGGTGCAAAGTTTCAAGCCAAAAAGTAGATACTCCATTAAATTTTTTGTGCGGGCAGTTGCCTAGGCACATTAGTCTCAGACCTGCACACGTATATATGTGAAAAAACAGCACTATACACATAAAAGTATAAATATGCAATAATAGCAAAAGATAAGAGATAGCCGCTAAAAAGAAAGATGATATAGACACAGAAAAAAGTGTATATGAAGTAAAGTCAGGCTTAATTTAGAAAACAAAGTCATATAAATATGACAAGGTGGTAAACAGGAAGATACAACATAAAATATTTGAAAAAAGTTAAGAAAAAAGCCAAAAGAAATAACAAGTAGGCTTGGTGCCCGTAGCACAGTGGTTATGGTGCTGCCCACATGCACCGAGGCTGGCGGTTTAAAACCGGCCCGGGCCAGCTAAAGAACAATGACAACTGCAACAAAAAATAGCCAGACATTGTGGCAGGCACCTGTAGTTCCAGCTACTTGGGAGGCTGAAGCAAGAGAATTGCTTGAGCCCAAGAGTTTGAGGTTGCTGTGAGCTGTGACATGACAGCACTCTACTGAGGGCAACATAGTGAGACTCTGACTCAAAAAAAGAAAAAAGAACGAAAGAAATAACAAGTACTATTTGTCATGTTATTTCCTTAATAAACACATTTTATAATTAAAAGACAACCTCTTATTAACTGTCCAATTTCCTTAGGATAAACTTAAACTCATGAGTCTGACATCTGAGACCGTGAAACATCTGGTACAACTCCAAATGTATTAAAAGCACTGAATTGTGTACTTTAAAAGGGCTAATAACATGGTATATGAATTATTTCTCAATAAAGGTGCTATACATAAAAACCCAAAAGTTACATGCTACATGTCCAACACAGGCTTGTGAAAGTGAGGGTGGCCATCAGCTCTTCTTCACATAGTCAGGCAAGGACTCAGGCCAGGGAAGTTCCACCACATTGTGTCACTATCTTCTCAACTCAAGTCTTTAGGGTTTGGCTCAGGTGGGTACAAGAGTACCTGAGAGTCTCAAATGGGCAATCCATTGCCCAGAATTGGAAGTGACACATATCACCTCTATCTGTAATTTGTTGGAGTCTTAGGCCAGTCAAGACTAGCTGCAGCTGGGATAGGGCAGTGTCACCAACCTGTTTGTCGGAAAGCAGGATATGGTAAGAAAGAAGGTGAATGGGATATGGCAAGTCTCTTCCACAGTGACAAACAACTACTGAGTCTTTATTATACGTCAGGCAGTTTAGGAAGTACTTCACATATGTTATGTAAAGGTGCTGCTGCTTTTGACAATAATAATAGTGATGGTAATAATGGCTAATTTCTATTGAGCTTAATGAATACCCAGCATTATTCCATAAGTATATGTGTATTAAATGATTTAATTTTTATAACCACCCATTGCATTGGGTACTGTTATCAAACTGAGCCACGCAGAAGTACAATCAATTGCTAAGGTCTCCCATCAAGTAAGTGTTAGGGTCAAGATTTGAACCAAAAGAATTTGGCTATAGCACACAAACTGTTAACCATTATCAGTGGCTTTCAAATTTTTTTACTGTGACTCACACTAAGAATTTTGTCATCAAAAGTGAATAATGTCATCAAAATGGCTGACTAGAGATGCTTGGTGCTTATCTCCAGAAAAAGAAAGGACCAAGGCAATAAACACATAGTTAATATTTGACAGGAGTCAGAGGGAGAGTGTTAGAGTGCAGCAGGGGGTGGTGGGGAGGAGTGAAGAAGCACCTGTGGTGATGGGAAGTACAGGAGGGCAGTGTTGACGCACTGTGGCAGCCTGAGCAGCCCTGTTTTACTTGCCCAGATCTGATCAGCCCAGAGAAAAGATGGACTTTCTCTTGTAAGGAAAAGGTAAACTGAAGAACACCATTGGCTCCCAATACCACCAGAAATGACTACAGTCCTTATTACAGGATAATCCCACAGTCCTCACAAGCCCTGAACCCAATTTGGAGAGCTGCTAAGAATTCATGCAGTTTCACTACTCCAGATTAGGAGCACAAGATGTGCTCTCTACCTTCTACCCACCCTTGATGATCTAAGCTGCTGAAGCATGGCACCAGTTTGAGTCAAAGCCATCTCAGGAGTCTGCCCTGCTCTGGGGGCCAGTAGACATTTCACCTTTCCAGCACTGGGGCTCTCTCTTCCTTCCACCAACCTCAAATGGGTAGCTCAATACAAGAACCCCTGCAGTGTGGAACCTGAGCCCAGGATGGGCTGTGACTCATCTAACACAGAAGGTAAACCAACTCCTGACATCTGCATTTACTGCTGAAGGAACAACCTGACAGTCCCACCTAGGGATATCCTGCTCTTGAGTTAGCCAAACCCCTGAGAACGGACATCTAGCAGGGAAACTCCTTGAGCAACTTCCATGCTCTTAGGCCCCCAGACCATCTACACACCTGTGCTCAGGGCCTGAAACAGACCCTGCACCCAGGGGTTCGATACCTACAGTCAAGGCCTGAGAAACAGCCCTGTGGACCACCCTCAGAAGAAACACATGCAGGTGACCAAGAAGGTATATGCCTGTATCCTGGTCCTGGGAGGAAGCCCTGTGGGCCACCTCAAGAAGACACACCCCTAGGACTTCCAAGCAGTTGGGTATCTGCTTCCTGGGCTTGAGAAACAGTCCTGTGCCCAAATCCCACTGACAGACCCCAAGTGGGCTAATGCAACATGTGTAGGTATACAGCCCTGGCCTGAGAAATAGCTTGACAATCTCACCCTTGCCCAAGTTGCACCA